AGGACTCCTTGCGCTTGTGCTTCCTCTTCTTCTTGTCGGTGGCGCGGACGGCCTTCTGGGCCTTGCCGGACTTCTTCACGGCTTTACCGGTGCTTGGTGGGGCCATTGCTGGTGGTGGTGAGCGAGTTGGAGTGAGTGGCTGGTGAGAGCGAGTGCAATCCAAAAGTGGTGCCTCAAGAGACGATCGAGGGCTCTCTTTTATACTAGTGGCTCGTATCCTCTGCGCTCGCTTCAGTGGGGTGCACTGCAGCTGGCCGCCAGTGGGAACGATTCGCGCGCAATTTCCCCCCAGTGCGCTGCGCGCTGATTGGCCGCAAAAGAGTACTTCAGGGAAGTGCACTCAGTGTCCCGACTGCACTGCCACTGAAGGAAGCAGCGGTACCGCCCTCCAGCTGGCCTCAACTGCCGTGATCATGTGCCAACGCATATAAAGCGACCGGCAGACGGTGGCCAGCTTCAACCACTCGCAAAAGTTTCCCCGTTCGCCGTCGTGCACCCCAAACAAACTCACCCAACCCAACTTCAACATGTCTGGTCGAGGCAAGGGAGGCAAGGTCAAGTCGAAGGCCAAGTCCCGCTCATCGCGAGCCGGTCTCCAGTTCCCCGTCGGTCGTATCCACCGTCTGCTGCGCAAGGGCAACTACGCCGAGCGCGTCGGTGCCGGTGCCCCGGTCTACCTGGCCGCCGTCCTCGAGTACCTGGCCGCTGAAGTGCTGGAGCTGGCTGGCAACGCCGCCCGCGACAACAAGAAGACCCGTATCATCCCCCGTCACCTGCAGCTGGCCATCCGCAACGACGAGGAGTTGAACAAGCTTCTCTCGGGTGTGACCATCGCCCAGGGTGGTGTCCTCCCCAACATCCAGGCTGTCCTTCTGCCCAAGAAGACCGAGAAGACCGCATAAGTTGCTGGACTTGTTCTCTCTCTCAACTTCATTTTCACCCACTTCATCATCATCATTTATTAATCCCAAAAGGCCCTTTTCAGGGCCACAAACATTTCGAATCTGAGCTTTTTGCTGCGTCTGGTTGTTTACAGAGTACTTGTTTGTTGGTTAAATAAAGTTTCAACTTCAGGTGCAAGTGTGTTTTCTGGTAAAATTTTTTAGGTTTACTTGCAAGTTGTTGATCCATACTTTATTTATTCCATCATTGCCTCGTAATTTTATAGGAAAACATTGTAAACTTCAAGTAGAAAAATAAAAACTGAAAACAAGTCATTAGTTTTGTTCACAAAAACTGGCTAGCAAAATCTTTTTCTAATCTGGCGCGTTTTTCAGTTTTCAAAAATAATTTTTACAATTACTGATGCGCCATCTTCTGAAGCTTGAGTGACATGCAATTTGGGTAATTTTGCTAACCAGTTTTGCTTGTAAATTGTTGTGTACTCACCTTGACAAATGTATTCATATTTACAAGATGAGCTTTTGAGTGGCCATAGCTGTAGTTGATTCCGTAGCAGTGTCGGGTGTGCAGCATTTGAATCGTGTTCGCCAGTTTGAGGTGCTCCTTACACTGGTCACTGCTAAAGTGCATCCTCGCGTTGATTTTGAGCAGCAGTTTTGACACGCGGTGACAGCGAGATGGATAGTGTACCGCCAGCTGGTGCACTCCAAAAAGGTAGGTCATCTGAGAGAAGGTGACACCGCCGATGATGGGAATGGAGGCCGAGTTGACCCGTCCCAGCAGCAGACAGACAAACATGAATGCATTAGGTGGACTGTAGAACAGTAAGGCAATGAACAACAGGTAACCAAAGACCTTGTTTTGCGAGGACACTGAACGACGGCAGTGAGCGTGAAAGTGGTAGAAAGTGCGCAGACTGGTCATCACTGACACCTGGCATCGATGTAAACTAGTGCCGCCATTGTGAGACAACCTTGAGAGGGTTCTCGAAACCAGATGCTCAGCCTGTGCGAATCTAGTAAAGGTAATGTAGGAGCACATTGCGGGAAGTATCACACCCATTTGGTACAGTGTTCCGTAGGTGAAGTTGCAAATGACCGTTGCAAAGCCATGTGTCAGCATTGAAGTGGTCTTGAGCAGGCCAGTCGCAGTGCAGCAGTAGTACAGTGGATCTTCAGAGAGTATTTGCACTATGATAAATGCGATGTGTAGAGCCATGATATCTGGTTTTATAAACAGTTACGAAAGTTGCCAGTTATCAGCATTTTAACTTACAGCAAATTAAATTATTCCCAACAAATGCATCTGATAACTTTGTAAAAAACTTTTCAATTTTGTGACTGATCAAATTACCCTTTTTGTCAGTTTTGA